GATGACAGACCATTTAAGGAAAGCTATTTTAACTGCTATCTTTATGTTACTGAAGAAAAACACATGGATGCTAAAAAAATATTGTAGACATATTGTTTACTCAGATCAGATAAGAAGAAACAGAAATATAGAAGAGCTAGAAGAAGCTGTGATAGATGTTTCTTTTTATTGTTGCTTGGTTACATCACTGGTAGTATTTCTACTTGAATTCTGAATCAGTGTTTTTGAGATAAATTGTGGGCCACAGTGGCGTGGTAACAAAGGGATTAAGTCATATCTGTGCTGTAAGAATATCAAAGTTGTTTCTCTGCTTAGGCACATTTTATTTCCCAGGTCTACCATAGTAAAATGTCATGTCAACAGGAAAGTCCCCAGGATAAACTACCTACACTGGTATGTCCTCCAGCAAAGCAGAAAAAGGAGATTCAATCCTCTGTGGCCAAATACTTTCTGTGGTATTGGAAGTATAACATGACATCAGAATCAGAGTAATGTGTTGATGCCCAACTCAGCTCATGAAGACCACATGAGCCACTTGAGCCACAGCGCCACTTCTGGCTTTTTTCTTTTTGCTTATGTGGTGCTGAAGAATCAAACCCAGGGCCTCATGCATGCAAGGCAAGCGCTCTACCACTAAGCCACCTTCCCAGCCCCGTGGAACAGTTCTATCTCTGACATTACCAAAGAATTCAAAAGTTCAATTCTAAATGGACTGATTCACTACTTTAATGAAATAATTAAGCATATAACTGTTCAAAAAATAGGTTTCTTAAATCCTGCAAAAATACTGTTGAGGTTAAGGTTTCTTTCAAATGCTATATATACATATTTTACTTTAGTGTGAGAAAAGTAATATTTAATAAGAATCACCATTTATTTAATGAAGCTTCTGTTTTATTTAAGGCTCATCTTTCACATTTAGATTTTTCTAGTTATAGTTGGCAGCTCTTCAGAAGTCTGAACTTAAAGTCCAACTGACTATTCTGAAAAATATGCATGTGGCAAGAATTGCTTGCTTACTAGATCCTTCTTCAGCCATTCAGCCACTTCAACCATTATTTCCAAGGCAAATTTTCCAAAATGAAATATATTGCAAAACTAAAAATACAATGAGTATCTAAAAAGGAGCTCCAATCCTCTGCCAGAACCAACCTCAAATTCTTAATTTCTTCATCCAAAAGAATCAGACCAAGTACTGACATTTTCCACCAAGCAAGCTGCCTAGCCACAAGTGTTTCTCATTTACTCTACTCCCGGGACAGAATGCTAAAATAAAAAATTTCCTGAATACCCCAAATTTCAGGTGCAATTTGGAATGCAAGTGATGCATAATGTAATGCAGGAAACATTATCATCTTATCTTACCAAGTCTGTTTCTGGAGTGCCATCCTCAGGAGACTATCCCAACCAATTAGATGGCTGCCAGCCATGTGACCTATTATACTCTTCACCCTCAGCTCAGATATGATTTTGAACCCCAGAAGTCTGCTATTCCAGCTACTATTCAACTAAGAAAGATGTTACCTCAAGGGATCTAACAAAGACCCCTGTTTTTGTCTGTGACAAAAGTGTGTTACTAGTACTATACTGAACTTCCATGTCAAGAAAAGACACAAATGCTAAAAAGAAATTAAAGACACTGTCACTGCTTCTGTATCAAAACACACTCACAGTAGCCTCTAAACAGACTTAAAGTCTAATAAAATCCAAATGAAATTTCACAGAATTTCTAATTCTGTGGTAATCTCATCCTTACCATGCTCCCATTACAATTATTTAATTGCTTTTGTGTTTCAAGGAAAAAAATACAAATGACATACAGCAAAAGCACTGCACTTAAAGCACCAAATGAACACAAAAACTTTATCAGAGAAAATGTGGTTGAGATATGCTGGTATCTATAATATGCAAATTATGGGGCATTATAGAATAGCAGATGTGGATGATAAAAGATTAACACTTATGAACAAGTTTTCCATTACCTAAGGACCTTTATTAAGTAAACTGTAAAGATGAGGGGCACTTCTAATCAAGGATGAGGAGTCTGAGGCAGAACTCAAAGCTTGAAAGTTGGAACAGAGAATACTGTTTCTACAGAAATTAGAGCCAACTGGAAGAAATTTCTCAAGCTAAAGGAGTTTTGAAAAAGCTGAAGATCACTTTTCAAGCACAAGAAGAGATTCTAGTTATGTCTCTATGAACACAATAAAGAATAACTTACCAACTCTAGGAATGCATAAAGTAAATTTTATGTTCTGTAAGTAATTGTTCTAAGAGTAACATTTATAAAGAAACAAATTTATAACATCTCTAAATTCCCCATGAAATGCTCAAGAAGTCATTACAAAAGATAAATATATTTGAAGAAAAATTAGTACCTAAAAGTAAAAAATAAATAAATCAGTTTATATTTGTGGTTGGCCACAAAAATCAGTAGCTTTTTCTATACTAACAATGAGCAGATGGCAAAGGAAATAATTCCATTTGCAATAACCTCAGAAAAATACATTAAAAACTGTAGGGATAAACCTAAACAAGGAGGTATAGGATCTCTTCAATGAAAAATCCAAAACTTTAAAGAAAGAAATTGAAGAAGACACCAGGAAAAGACTTTCCATATCCATGGATTGGAAGAATAAGTATTGTGAAAATGACCATCCTGCTAAAAGCAACTGAACTATTGCTATTATACCCATGAGAATCTCATGGGTATAATCTCCAAAGAGGCAGAGAAAACAATCCAAAAGTTCATATTCAAAAGATCCAAAGTAGTTCCAGGCACTGGTGGCTCACACCTGTAATCCTAGCTACTCAGGAGGCTGAGATCTGAGGATCACAGTTCAAAGCCAGCCTGGGCAGCAAAGTCCGTGAAACTCTTATCTCCAATAAACCACCAGAAAACTGGAAGTGGTGCTGTGGCTCAAGCAGTAGAGTACTAGCCTTGAGCTGAAGAACTGAGGGACAGCGCCCAGGCCCACAGTTCAAGCCCCACGACTGACCAAAAAAAAAAGATCCAAGGTAGCCCAATCCGGAGGGGGGTTAAAAAAAAAAAAAAGCAATGCCAGAGATTTCACAATTCCAGGCTATTAGCACAAAAATAGATCTAATGGGCTAGATTATAAGACAGAGAAATGAACCTACATACCTACAGACATCTGATCTTTGACCAAGAAGCCAAGCATATACGTTGGAAAAACTAAAGCCTCTTCAACAAAGGGTGATGGAAAAAACTGGGCTTCCATATACAGAAGACTGGAACAAGAGCCCTGTGTCTCATTTGCATTGATATCAATTCAAAGATCTAAAACCTCCACATGAGACCTAAAATGTTGAAACTATTAGGGGAAGGAATAAGGAAAACAATAGAACTCACTGACACAGGCATCAACTTCCTGAGTGGAATCCCAGAGGCTCAGGAAATAGGAGAGAGAACTGACAAATGGCACTGCATCAAGCTAAAATTCTCCTGCACAGGAAAGGATATAGTTACTAAGCCAAAAAGACAGGCTACAGGATGGGAGATCTTTTCTATCTGTAGTAACCAAAATATACAAGGAGCTCAAAGAACAAACCTCTTAAAGATTCACTTAATAAAAATGCAAATAAATAAAGGGGCAAATTCATAAAGGAGGCAAATTATCTAAATAGAAACTCTTCAGAAGAAGCATAAATGGCCAGTAGATGAAGAAATGTTAAATATCTCAAATCAAAATAACGTGGAGCTGGGCGCCAGTGACTCACGCCTATAATCCTAGCTACTCAGGAAGCTGAGATCTGAGGATTACAGTTCAAAGCAAGCCCAGGAAGGAAAGTCCATGAGATTATCTCCAATAAATCACCAGAAAACAGAAGTGGTTCTGTGACCCTGTGGTAGAGCACTTGTCTTGAGCTGAAGAGCTGAGGGACAGCACCCAGGCCCAGAATTCAAGCCCCATGACCGACAAAAATAAATAAATAAATAACATGAAGATTCCATCAAACTCCAGTCTGAATGGCCATTATCCAGAAAACAAACTACAACAAATGTTAGTAAGGATGTCTGCAAGGGGAAAAGAATATTCTTACACTTTGGATGGGTATGTGGGAGACAGAATGGAAAAAAAGCTAAAAAAACCAAAATGGTACTCATCGATGGTCCAGTAGTACTACTCTTGGACATTTATCCAAAAGACTGCAAGTCAAGATAAAATAAAAGTCCAGATGTAGTGGCTCAAGCCTATAATCCTAGTGACTCATAAGGTTGAGATCTGAGGCTGGTTGGAAGCCAGGCTGGGCAGGGAAGCCAGTGAGATTTTGTTTATTATTAGATAAGCCAAAATAAAGGTGTAGTTCAAGTATTATTATATCCCTGAGGGATATAATAAAAGCACCTACATATCCATGTTCATTGTTGCACTATTCACTACAGCCAGGTTATAAAAACAGCCTAGATGCCCTACAATTGATGGATGGACCAAGAAAATGTGCTATCTCTCTCTCTCTTTCTCTCTCTCTCTCACTCTCTTTCTCTCTCTCTCTCTCTCTCTCACACACACACACACACACACACCCCTTACCAGTTCTGAAGAGCCTTGCCTAGCCCATGATCCTCAGAGACTCAGAGTCTAGTTGTGCACAACATACTCAAATGAACTGTCATTGTTAAGCTTCCTTTTTAAACAGTAACTCAGTATCTTTTGGACCAAATAAACCAAAAATGCTATCAGGAATTCATTGGATAAAATGAAAATACTAGATAAGCGAAACATGCCAAGCACAGTATCAGAGCATATAACGCCCTCTCTCAAGAATTCTCATAAAAGCAAGTGACCTGGTGCAGCATCCCACTCAGCTCCCCCTACCCTGCACAGGCTGACTACATGTGATTTCTCTGCTTTTATAAGTTAGTTACTGATACTTGAACCAGGTCACTGGAAAGTAAATTTAAGACAGGGAATAGAGTTATAAATTAATTCATTCCCTCACAGTGTAGAGTCCAAATACAACGTGAATCAGCTCACTTGAATGGCAGCCAAGTTCTTCTGCTCCTGCGAGGGGGCCTCGTGAACAAAGCGCAGCCAGTTGGAGTGTCTGGGGTTGGTGGCGTCCAAAATGTACAGAACTTCTCCCTTCCTCCCACGCACCTGAAACAGAAAAGTCTCCTGAATTCCCATGGACATCTGTTGATGAACCTTACTAAATATACCAAGGGTAGGGCATGAGACACTGTCCCCAAGCGCAGACTGTTTTAATTGACCGGTGCTGAATAAATGCTGGATTAACAAACATTCTTCCTTTAAACACGTCTTCACAAAGCCCACTATTTCGTTTGGTGAGGTATATCTAGATGACTCACTATTGTAATCAACTCTCAGAAATACCCGGTATGGACAGATATTTTCCAGTTAAAATGATTTGTCGTTGTAGGTACGTTGGAATACATGGTTCATAACCACCATTGTGCAGAAGAGAACCAAAAATGGCAGAAGAGGGTGGTACTGCTCACTTCCCAATTGAAGGAGTAAAAGCTGGGGCCACCTTTAGTTTCTCCCTCCACCGGCTAACCGAGTCATCTCCATAAATGGGAACTTGTTAAACCAACCATGGGATCCGACAGCCAACAGAACACATAATTTCGTCCAAGCTTTTTAAGTGGCTGAGCAAAATAAATCCCATCTCATCTTTTAATGGCCTGCTCATGAATTAATGAGAGTAGTATTTTCTTTTTCTAAAATTATCTTTCATTTATTACTTCCTGATCTTTAAGAAGCTGTACTAGACAGTTTTGTTTCAACCAAGCGTTCTCTTTTCTTTTTTTTTTTCCTTTCCTTTATCTCGGAATGTAAGACTTTGCATGTCAGATCTACTCAACATTTCTTTGAAGGGGAAAAAAATACCAAAACCCCAGGTGTTCCACTGGACATTCTTGAATGCAACTTGATTGGAATTCAGTTTCTCTCAAAACCCTTCACTGTTAAGTGACTAAGCACTTGCCCAGTTTAGTAAAAATACATACACCAATCCCCATCCTGCTCTCATTCCATGCTTATCCACCGCTAGAATTCAGTGGAGAATAGGAAAAAATGAGAGACAGTATTTCCAACACCAAGTATCAAAAATGCAAATGCAAATTAATCTTTGCATATCTGAGGGGAGGAAAAACCAATTTCAAATTTTTTCTCTTTGAAAGGACAACCCTGACCCAACAGCGTATGTGTGTTTGCATGTGCTTCTGGATACTCATTCATTTGTTCAACCGAGAGTCACTATGTCCTTAACTGCTGAGAACCGAAAATCTTCCAGTAAACAAAACAAAGCTCTTGCCTTCACAGCCCTTAAACCTAGACACAGCCTTCTTTAAAGATTAGCTAGTGTGAACATTTGAAGTAGGAGGGGAGAAAGGGGAATCTAGCAATGGGAGAAACACTGGACAGAGTGGTCAGATAAAGCCTTTTGATGCGTTAACTTGAGAAGAATTTCAACCAGAAGGAAGAGCTGAGGAAAGAGGCTGCCAGGCAGAAGGGCAGCAAACAGAAAAGCGTAGTTTGGAAAGAAACTTAGTAGGAAGTTTAGGTTTGGACAAGCTAAGAAAGCTTACGTTTGAGAAAAATAAGAAGAAGGCAGGGAAGAGGCAGGGGGAGAGTAGAAACAACCCAGGAATGGTGAGTGCTCAGATCAGACAAACTGGCCAATGTCAGATCACACGTGCATACACAGATCAGGAAGCCATCCACACAATTACTGTGCAGAAACAGTAATGCTCATCCATAAAGCTGTGATAAAGTCATCTGTTGAATGCCTGGAAAATGGATATTTCAAGAGTTTAGCATATACTGTATGTGAAAAGTTCAGTTGGGTCTCTTCCTACAATCTATTAGACTGCCATATTTGGCCAAGGAGTACTGTTTGTTTAAATGCCAAAGAAGTTTTCATAATCCCTCAGAATTCTCTAATAAAATGCCAAACCCTTACTAGGAAGCCACATTTAATTTTCAATATTGTAACTGCTAAGAGAGGAATTTGGGACAGTAAAGACCTCATGTTTCCATTCTACACGCTTACATGTACACAGTGGAATTGCACCACCTCCCTGCTCACCTCTCAGCTCAGAGCCCACCCTGCCCTACCCCACCTTTCCAGGAAAGCCAGAACCGCCTAGCAACCCCACCAAGAGCTACATGAAGCACACTGCTGGCTTCAGCAACTCACAATGCATTCCTCCAAATCATCACATAATTTTAAATAGTGAACAATCAAGTCCTTCCCATCAGGTATCTCCATAGCCATGATCATAGAAACAAAACTACTTAAGTTAACAGAGGACCACACTGCACCCAGAAGGCAGCAAAATGCCTACATATCTGAGAGAAATGTGTTCTTAAAGGAAGTGTAGCCTACAATCTATAACTGTTGCTGAAATTAAGTCTAACTTAATGTGAGGCCCTAATGGCTCATGCCTATAATCCTAGCTACTCACAAGGCTAAGTTGTGAGAATCGTGAATTTGAAGCCACCCTGGACCAACAAATTCAAGAGACTCTTCACTGCAATTAATGAGCAGAAAAGCCACAGTAGAGTTATGGCTCAAGAAGTAGAGTCAGCCTTGAGTGAAAAAGCCAAGCATGAATGTGAGGCTCTGAGTTCAAGCCCCAGCAATAGCACTGAAAAAAATATATATATATTAAAGAATCACCAATACCTTACCAGCTTTTACCAATTGAGAGGACAACTGCTTAGATAAACTAGGCCAGGACTGCTTATTCACACGTCTATGACTCAGATTTAAGCACGCTATATATCAGATATGTTTGATGGCTGGACTCTTTCTTCTATGATGTGATACATAGCCAAGATTTCTCTGGCTGAGACTGGTGAGCACACTTGAGTTTTCACCAGGAACACTGTTTGTTCTTCATGTATTCTAACTTTTTCCCAGGCTCTTGGGCTCAATCTATGTTCAACCACTCAGAATTAGTAACTCATTGTTATTTTCCCTCCAGTAGATGCATGAACTTTCTGGCAGTCTCTTCCCTTCCCACACAACATTTCATCTTCAAAGAAATCCATGGAGGGCTGGGAAGGTGGCTCAGTGGTAGAGTGCTTGCCTTGCATGCTCGAGGCCCTGGGTTCGATTCCTCAGCACCACATAAGCAAAAAGAATAAAAGCCGGAAGTGGCACTGTGGCTCAAGTGGTAGAGCGCTCACCTTGAGCTGAAGAGTTCAGGCCTCATGACCGGACCCAAAAAAAAAAAAGAAACCCATGGATTCAACTTCATACTAAAATTCTGAAACATGTCACCCTCAATACAAATGGACAATTATTGATTTACTATCATATATAGTCTAATGAATTTACATGAATTGTTTTATTGGCACTTACATTCTCTTTTTTTTTTATTGTGAAAATACTATACAGAGGGGATACAATTACATGGGCAAGATTAATGAGTACATTTCTTATCAAGCATTGTAGCCACCTCCTTTGTTTCCCCCCACCCCCCCATCCAATTTCCCCACCACCACCACGCACCAAAGTTGTAAAGTTCGTTTTCGACATAACGACTTGGACATCTCATTGTTGCAATGGGTCCACCTGTATCCCTATTTAAAAGATTTGTTTTTCCCCTTCCCCTCCACAAACTATACTGACATCAAATACAGTGAAAGCAGGGGTCATACTGTGGGGAAGGGACATACAAAGCAACAAAGAAATAATCTTATAGATGTGTTAGAAACAATCACATGAAAGAAAAAAACATTTGAATACATATCTTAGAGTTCATTTCCCTAACATCAACTTATCTGACCTTTCCTGCTTGACTCACACATATACTAGATATTGCAATTAAGGAAAACCATGGGAACTATGTTTCTTTGGGCCTGGCTTACTTTACTTAATATTATTTTTTCAAGTCTTTCCATTTCCTAACAAATGGGGCAATGTCATTCTTTCTGATGGAGGCATAGAATTCCATTGTGTATATATATCACATTTTCTCGATACATTCATCTGCTGAGGGGCATCTGGGTTGGTTCCATATCTTAGCTATAGTAAATAATGCTGCAATAAACATAGTCGTGCTGGTAGCTTTAGTTTGGTCTTGTTTGTGATCATTTGGGTAAATGCCCAAAAATGGGATTGCTAGGTGATAGGGGAGCTCTATGTGGAGTCTTTTGAGGAACCTCCATACTGCTTTCCAAAGTAGATGAACAAGTTTACATTCCCACCAACAATGCAGTAAGGTTCCCTTCTGTCCACATCCCTCCAGCATCTGTTGTTATTAGAGTTCCTGATTTTAGCCATTCTAACTGGAGTGAGGTGGTATCTCAATGTTGTTTTGATTTGCATTTCTTTTATGGCTAGGGAGGTTGAGCATTTCTTCATGTGTCTATTGGCCATCCCTCTTTCTTCTTCAGAGAAGTTTCTCTCTAAGTCTTTAGCCCACTTATTTATTTGGTAGTTGTTTCTTTGAAGATTTGTTGTTGGGGGATTTAATTTTTTGAGTTCCAGGTATATTTTAGATATGAGACCCTTGTCCGTTGTATGGCTAGTGAAGATCTTCTCCCAATCCGTGGGCTTTTTATTGATCTTGCTAGCTATGTCCTTTGCTATGCAGAAGCTCTGCAATTTCATTCAATCCCATTTGGCCAACCTTTCTTTGATTTGTTGTGTTTCTGGGTCTCTATTAAGAAAATTTCGGCCTGTGGCACTTACATTCTCTAATGAATCATTATGACAGCCAATAATTCACAGGATGTTGACAACTTTCTTTTTTGGTGCTGGTACTTGAACTTCTTGAACTCAGAGCTTTGCACTATTGCTTGGCTTTTTCACGCAAAGTTGGCACTCTGCCACTTGAGCCACACCTCCACTGCTCTCATCTCCTAATAAAACTTATTTCAATTTCAAATCTACTTAATTTGTTCAGATACCCCATGCCATTTACACAAACGGTTAACTGAAGCAGAAAAGGAAAAGAAGACATGCATGAAAGAGAAGAAAACCCAAATAATTGGTTTTTATCTCTGAGTCTGACACTCTACATAAACAGAAAGTTTGCACACAGAGACTTTGCCGTTTCCAGCCTGTGCTCAATGCTGGTACTGGCTACCACAAATCTAGACTTTCTCTAGACTGAAGATTA